ACATTGTGCTTCATCTAGAACTGATTACCCCCAATATGACATTATGTAGCTGACATCAAGTGTACATTGTGCTTCATCTAGAACTGAATACACCCAATATGACATTATGTAGCTGACATCAAGTGTGCATTGTGCTTCATCTAGAACTGAATACACCCAATATGACATTATGCAGCTGACATCTAGTGTGCATTGTGCCTCATCTAGAACAGAATACACCCAATATGACATTATGTAGCTGACATCTAGTGTGCATTGTGCTTCATCTAGAACTGAATACCCCCAATATGACATTATGTAGCTGACATCTAGTGTACATTGTGCCTCATCTAGAACTGAATACACCCAATGTGACATTATGCAGCTGACATCTAGTGTACATTGTGCTTCATCTAGGACTGAATACACCCAATATGACATTATGTAGCTGACATCTAGTGTGCATTGTGCCTCATCTAGAACAGAATACACCCAATATGACATTATGCAGCTGACATCTAGTGTACATTGTGCTTCATCTAGGACTGAATACCCCCAATATGACATTATGTAGCTGACATCTAGTGTACATTGTGCTTCATCTAGGACTGAATACACCCAATATGACATTATGTAGCTGACATCTAGTGTGCATTGTGCTTCATCTAGAACTGAGTACATCCAATATGACATTATGTAGCTGACATCTAGTGTGCATTGTGCTTCATCTAGAACTGAATACCCCCAATATGACATCGTGTAGCTGACATCAAGTGTACATTGTGCTTCATCTAGAACTGATTACCCCCAATATGACATTATGTAGCTGACATCAAGTGTACATTGTGCTTCATCTAGAACTGATTACCCCCAATATGACATTATGTAGCTGACATCTAGTGTATATAGTGCTTCATCTAGGACTGATTACCCCCAATATGACATTATGTAGCTGACATCTAGTGTATATAGTGCTTCATCTAGGACTGATTACCCCCAATATGACATTATGTAGCTGACATCTAGTGTATATAGTGCTTCATCTAGGACTGATTACCCCCAATATGACATTATGTAGCTGACATCTAGTGTATATAGTGCTTCATCTAGAACTGATTACCCCCAATATGACATTATGTAGCTGACAGTTCGTACACATATGAAGGTAAACGATAACAAAAAACGTGAGTAAAATAATAGTCAGTGAGTGAGTGGGGTTTAATGCCGCTTTTAACAGTATTCCAGTTACATCACGGCGTGTCAGCTTAATGTGGGAGGAAAGCCCGAAGTGATGCAGGTCTAAGACGTTTACCACTTCGGTGAAACCCACGAGCAAGGGTATGGTGCTGACAAACCTAGAAACATAATTGGGGCGAACCGGGATTCGAACCCACAATCATAGGTTTCTGGCGTGCCCAAGGGACGCAACTCTGCACAGAGAATCGCAGCGCCTTAGGATACTGGGCCACCCATGCCCCCTGAGTAAAATAATAACAATGGTATGCTACATCAGTGACGGATACTTAAAGGTTGTTTCTTTTAGCTAGAGACACATCATATTTTTGCTACCGTAACAATTTCTGAAAGAAGCGGTATGTTGACAAGTTTATGTTAATTATTTTCGGAATAATATTGTTGCGAAAAGATAAAAAACGTAAGATTAGGATACGATTAGAGTTATGGTTACGGGTCAGTTGTGATAAAAAGGGAAAATGGATAGAAACACGCTACGTGTTGGTGTGTGTTTAAATCACACGAGACAGAGTCAGGTCATTTCCCATTTCTAGTGAACTACTTTGAAATTATATTGTGGAGGAAAATGTGTTACGGCAAAACCATCCTATTCGAAAATTAGCAATAAACTCCACGAAAGTAAGCTTCTATTTTTGTTGGAATCTGTCTGCGGAACGTTGTGACACGAAAACCTACAAACAGATATAATAACAAATCAAATCCTTTATTTTATGCGACCCATATTTATCGGAAGCTAATCATTTGCAAAATATGTTTTCGGTTCCAAACTAGATTTTAGAGAAGTATTGATATAAAATAGACGACCATATTTCTCAAAATTCAAAATACCCCATCATGAGTAATTTCTCCTCCAGAAGATACCATACCATGTTTGGTAAACAAATTGACACAGGATATTATATTTAGTATTAATTAAGTGATAATAATTATTTCTAAAACCAAAGCATTCACAATTATATCTAGGTCGACACAGCATTTTCATGCGGAAAACAAATACGTGCATGTCATATCAAGGAAGCATTTTCTTTCCGTGTTTATACGTGTTTGTATAATTATACACCCTTTGCAGAAGATATTGGACACATCCAGTTCAAGGTCAAACTTGTTTACAAATATTGCAGTCACGTGACAATCACTTTGCACGCAGACGGTGCCCGAAATCCGATAAACCCATGCGCGTAGTAATAAAGTAGTTCTTCTATTTCCGAGGAACTTCATTCACGACGCTGTCTTCAAAGAGGAGAGTATGTCATGATTTTGAGCTTTGAAACTTGTTCACTTTCAAATTTTGCACCGAAAGTTATGTATGCATTAGTCACGAAATCGATGACGACAGCGCGGATTAATCATGAATTTGAAGTGATAGTGATAGCAGTACAACAAGTTACAACAACGCGATTTTCTCACGGCGCGACTCGGCACGATGTTAGCACAACTCGAAAGGGACTATTTACTGAAAGATGATTACGAATATAAATATGCATGGTATAAATGAATGTGTCTCTATTCAAGCACAATAAACTTCGTGGCCATGGACAAGAAAAACGAGTAACTGTAGCATGGCCATATTGATAACAGCATAAGATCTATATTTAGCAATACAATTATTCGTATTTCAGAACTACTTGACTTTCAGACGCTGCTGATAACGCTACAATACAATACCTCTACATCTCACTGCAACAGAAAGTAAGTAGGGGTTTATTATTCTATCATTTTTTATATTGATAAAATTTATGATTATGATGAAGCTGCCTTGATGACGCTAGAATACAATACCTTTACACCTCACTGCAACAGAAAGTGGTGATTTATTATTTCGTCATATCAATAATAATAATGATGATGATGATGATGATGATCAAATAACAGCAAGGTAAGCTGGTATCTTCAGTTATAATCTCCAGGGAAATTATTATTTTTATCATCATAATTATCATTATTATCGTCGGATCACAGGTTTTCGGACATGATACATTTTCGGCCAACAATGTTTATCGTGATGGTGGGAAGGGGGCGGGATGCAGCATCACAAAGACATTGTAAATACTCAGGTTTTTTAAAAAAAGTTGTCATTTGTATTGGTGAATGAAATATTTTACAATTGTTCATGTGATTAGAGAGAAAACTACGAATGTTCCTTTAGCGTCCGAAAACTCAAAACACAAAATAATATCAATATGGTGATGATGATGGTACAGACTATGAATGATGTTGATACAACTTTTATCTATTTTTTATTTCCTCACACCTACGTGGATTTCCCGTGTTTCATAAGCTGTTTTGCATAACAGGATTAGCTGGTCTACAGAGCTGCCGTTACGTGCGATACATCCCTGGGTCCATGTTTTTATGTGGTCTGAACGTTATGCTAGTGGACGTGTGAAAAACTGGAATTTTCGTGTGAGGGCAAAGGTGAACGAATGGGGTCTGAATATTTCTGAGAATGTTAGCGTGAAAAGTGTAGTTGTACGTGTGCAAGATATATGCATGGGAAAGTATGTGTCTGATTGGAATGAACGGTTATGCAAGCCTGGCGGAAGAACCGGTGGTAACAAATTACGTACGTATAGAATGTTTAAAGATGGGTATGGATGTGAAAGTTATGTAAGTATGTATATGCCTCGTTCTTACCTCTCTGCCTTCTCCAAATTTAGATCAGGTACTGCTCCTCTGAAGCTGGAAACAGGCAGATATACGAATATGAATGTGAATGAAAGAGTGTGTTTTCAGTGTAAGGAAAGTATTGAAGATGAATGTCATGTATTGCTGGATTGCCCTGCGTACGATGATTTGCGTGAAAGTTTATACGAAAAGGTGAGTTTTAGCTATCCCAACTTTCTAGAGTTATGCAATACGGATAAACTTATTGTACTTTTTAAATATTATGTATATTTGACAGCCAAAACCTGCTTTTTAATTCTCCAACGAAAAGTTTTTATTTTATATGGCTAGTTACGGGTAGTATATTTTCATACCCCTTTTACACCAATATATTTATGCTGTACATACTGTGATACATTTTAAGTCTCTCGTAACCCTTAACGGGTGGCTGGCTCACTTTTATGTCCCTTTATATGTATTTATGTAATTATTTCTGTGAGGTGAGACTCAAATAAACCATCTGTCTGTCTGTCTGTCTGTCTGTCTGTCCCTGGGTCCATGTTCATTTAATGGTCCACTGGACAGCTGATCGTACCATGGACACTAATACGATATTTAGGGTCCATGATCATACTGGGATCGCCAGGGGAGGTCTCAGAGATAGAATTACAGACCCGTGGCTCGCTTTATACGGCATTGTGTGTTCATTTCAAGTTCTATTCGCTTTATACTCCGATTACAAATTTCAGATCAGACTTACTGCTGCTACGTCAGGACATTGATTAACTGGTTGAACGCGACTACAAACGCGTGATTGTATTGAAATTATATATCACTTATTATTGCCCGTTTAGTGATTTCCAAATAAAAATAAACCTATTAAAATAGTTTTCGAAAGTTCATGTATTCGAGAAGCATTCTGTTCACATGTTGATATCGTTGGTTAATTTAATGTGTTCTTTTCTATATTCATAACTTGTTTGTAGATCTTATAAAAGATCTATTCTCAGTTGCACAATCTTTGAGCAACACAACCCAAAACGAGGTTAACCGACTGAGTGGTCTAATCAGGATATATATTGCAGAGAACGCTGTCTTGTCATTTGAACTAAGCTATACTACGTGACACTGTGAAATAATCCGTCATCTTTATATTAAAATCACGCGTATTTGACTTTGTCCCGGAAACAAACCTAAGACAGAACGTTGACCTAACAAGGTCGCCTGTGAGCAGTTTTCAGGATAGTAGCTTGCACTTATGTTTACAACTCTGATGGTGGAAGTGTCTTTGTGTCGAAATCAGTTGTTTACAACACTCAGGTAGAGTAGAAAGACAATTATTTTCTCGTAACATCATCTGCAAGAGCTATTCTGAAGTTTGCTGAACCCAACGAGATGGTTAGTGCGTGCAATTTGCGTCAATCATATGTAAAAGCATCGTTCAAATCGAGCACTCCCTTGTCAAGGCCACAAATCAGCGGCCCCGTATGTTCGTTCATTTCAAGTTCAAAATGCCTTTTCAAATGACTGTCGCTTCTGAATCATGTTTATGAATGTTTTAACGCACCAATCTGATCACGGTACTCTTTCGTGTAAATAGTTACATTTGAATACGATATGATATGATATTCAAATTACGGTACACGACGCCAATGTTATGGGACATAGCCTGGGCAGTCCCAACTGTTACGCGCAGCTGCGAGCAATGAAGCGTAGCAAGCATTGTTAGACATTTTAGGGGGTCATGGGACAGTGGTTTATTTTAGCTGTCGTGTTTTATTCTAGGAACCCCAAGTCTGTCTTTTCTTACACAGTTATAATAGGATTATCAGCTGATTATGAAGGGCCTGTTTAACTTTGTTTACTTCCAAACGCTGATGCAATCATCATATTTACAAATAGCAGCTGACATCACCTGGGCACAATGAGAGGTTAATGTTTTGATTAGATTAAGGTCTAACGTTTGTGTGCCCATTTACTTTATTTTTGTGTGAAGCTGAAACATTGAAGATTGTGGGAAAAAAATACCTATATCTAACATCCATGTCCGAACAGAGTCCGTCTTTGCGCTTCTCAACATGTCTCAATGGGGACAAATTTTCTCGAAAACTATTAAGTTAGAGAAATGAAATTTTATCCACTGATGTTACTGGTCATGATCTCAAATCGGTTTCTTACATTCATATGGCAAGATATGGCCTTTGCTCCGTGCTTTTCAAATAAGTGCATACTGATCAAATGGGACAAGTTTTCTCTGAAACTACTCAAGTTACATGAGAAAGTTAGCATGCTTTTCTAAGAGATACTTGTCAAGACTGAGTTTGAAATAAAAATTGGTGCCATAAATTGTTTTTCCAGAGTTACATTCCTTGCTACATAATTTTAGATTTTGTGCATAGACAGTTGCAGCCCTTAGTCTACATGGTCTGTTATTATTTTATATTTTGGTACATAGTGTCTGCAATGGGGAAAGTAAAATCAGAAAGTCAGCGGGTGCCTGTCCTAACCAATAACCCAAGTTTTAGCATGTTCATTGGGTCCCTGTCCCGTGAAGGTCTGGGGTAGAATAAGTCTTCAGCAACCCATGCTTGTCATGAGAGGTGACTAACGGGATCTGGTGGTCGGGTGGCTTGGTTGATACATGTCATCGTATCTCAATTGCGTGAATCAATGCTCATGATGTCAATCACTGGATTGTCTGGTCTGGACTCGATTGTTTACAGACCACCGTCATATAGCTGGAATATTGCTGAGTGCGGCGTTAACAAACAAACAATGGGTCCCTTGATTCACATACTATAGAGGACCAGAAAGGCCCAGTCCCTTGTTTCTACCACTGTATCACCATTGTCATCTCACTGGTAATGGCATGTGTATGCTTGGTGTGCTGCAGATTATGAACATGCGAACTCCACCTGCATTGATTGAAGAGGAGGACAAGGAGGAGGTGAACAACAACACTGGTGGTGGCAACGAGGTTGACTTCTCGGAGTACCTGTGGATGGCTGATGTGGAGCTCGATGACTTTGACAGACAGGTGAGTGAACTGTTAGTGAGAGGATTGCAGGTTAAGCTTCTTTGTAAATTTTTTTTATAAATATTCACGGGATAATTTCGAGTTTGTACCAAGACTTAAAATTCTTTAAATCCTTTGTCAAAATGTAAATATGGTAAACAGTCGATAATATAGCTCAGCCATGGTTGTTGTAGGGCTGCAAATTCCTGAAACATTTAATAACCTGAATAGTGATAACATATAAGGACACCCTAAACCTCAACTTCAACATTACACAAACTGATTCTGGCTACCTGGCTAGTGCTGATTTCCTTCCCTGGGAAGATGCACAGGCCTAGTAATATCATCTTCCTCAGGCAAGGGAGTTAATGACTGTAAAAGTCCAGTTTCCACCCTTGCCGAACTTGGCTGGAGTTTCTGGGCTCGATCGAGAGTCATAGCCCTTCCCTGTCCCTCCTATTGACCAATAAGATTCCACCTCTCATATCACTTGCCATTCGTGACCAACTTATGTTATTCCGGGACAAGCTGAAAAGTGACTCGTGCCCCTCTCGTGGCCATTTTTGCGACTGGATTCAGTCTAAGCGCAAACAGGCATGGCTAAAAGAATTGTTTACTCCTTGCGTAATGATTCACATATATTTCCGCCATATATCATTTCTATTTCAGTTGTTATTTAAAACACATCGGGACTTACAGTATCATACAGTATGGTTGAACACATTTAACTGTATCTTGAGTATATTTTAAATGCAGACATGTGAAATCCAAATATATTCCCCGGGGCTTCTTTGTCCAAAGTACTTGTATTCTGATTGGTTTGTCGTATTTTCGCACATAACATTCATTGATAGGGGCACGAGTCTTCTTGCAGGTTACATGCCTCGAAACGATGAGTAATAGTGGTGTAGGCTCCAACCTTTGTCATATTTGGTGAGTGAGTCATAATTAACATGATTAAACGTTGTATCAGCACAATAAACTATATCCTGGCAATACAGCATGATACAGTGGCAGGCCTTAACACATGGCTCAGTGTTTATACTGGGGTACTATCAGCCATTAGTTTATCTCCCTGATTTGAGTATGAATCTGTCGTATTGTACCTACACATTGTTGGTCACCAGGAACTGTATGTGAAATATAATTGAAAAGAATTAATATTTGTACAACAGAATGACCATGATAACATGGTTCATAAAATTCCATGGCAAAATGAAATATATAACAGGATGGTCATCTTCCCAAGGCATGGGAGTTAACTGACTATAAAAGTCCAGTTTCCACCCGTGCTGAACTAGGCTGGAATTATGGAGTTATATTTTGGCTGGACTACGAGTCTATGCATAGTCCAATCTAAATCACGTAACAAAATCAACATCCAGTTCGTAAACTGCCGTGGAGATTTCAGTCGATTGTAGGATTTGCAAAGCATGTGTACCATCAACTTAGCGTCAACAGATATTTTCCACATCCAGAAATTCCGTCCTAGTTCGGCAAAGGTGGAAACTGGACTTTAAGTCAGTTAACTCCTTTGCCTCAGGAAGATGTAAGATGATAAATATATACAGTGAGACCTAGGCACTGAGACGACTAGTAGTAATCTGTATGGTCAGTCCGATTTGCATTCTGCGCCAACAAGATGTATAAAAATTACGCGAGGAACTTTTGATAATTCTACAACCAATTATTGTTAATTCTGCGAGAAATTCTGCAAACTTTTAAGCTGAGTTTTCGTGAATGAATAAGCATGACACACATGACAACCACTATTTCACTTTCACAATTGTTTTTTTTAAAAGTTTGTTAAATGATCACTAACAGTTACTGTAGTTGTCATCCAAAAAATGTTCTCCATCCTTGGACAGCCTCCTCGACATCTGACTGTACTCCTTGGTGCTGACATTTCCTGGTTTTGCACCTGTGACATTTTTCTGATAAAACTTGTCCAAGGCTAGAATAGTTTACTGAAGTGAATCTGGCGATCACTTGTGTAAGCATACAGCCATGCACTTTCTGGTAAGCACTAATACAAAAGTCGACTTCACTTCAAAATGAAATCAGGATATTGATTACTTTTTGCCAGCGGTAGAAACTAACATTTTTAGTCCACTAGTACTTATAATGACAGAATATAGCAAAAGCCTTAAAAATGGCAAATTTCTACTCGTCCTTATGATACCTAACCATGCTAACTATTGGGCACTTTGGCAAGGACTACAGGACAACTGACAATTTCTAACGCTGATTTCTCAAAACATAAAATGATTAAAAGATTTTGGTTGTAAATTGTTTCTTCCATAACGTCCCTACATCATCAAAACCTCAAAACTTATTTTGAATGATTTAATTAATACAAAGCACAATTCAAATAATGAAAGTTTGTTTCAACATTCCTATGCAACTTTTACATGTTCAGAACCAGCTTTCGACTTGTGTGAAAAAGTGCAATTAATAAATTCTATGGCAGAAAATGCAACATCCTGCAAAGCTCTGCACTGAAAGGGATTTCTGCAACAGTATGTTTCTGTACTGAGTCGACATTTCAGCAAGATATCCCGCAACCGCAATGCAGCAGGAGCTGTATATTAAGCCCCCCTGATTCAGACATTACGTCAAACAATGAGATGCTGCCTGCTGTTAAGAACCTCTTGAAATTAGTTTCACACGTGGTTGAACACCATCTTGGTGTTTCTTGCACTTTAAGTTATATATTTTTGTAGGAGTGTGATTCATCAGGTACTCACGCTGTTCAAATGTCAGTCAGAAATAGCCAGGTGTTAATTTTAACTATTTGCTACTTATGCATGCAGCTATCAAGCTTCTAGTATCACCTGGGGCAGTTGTGAGGCTGGTGATAACATTTAATTGGAACGTTTGTTTCTTCTATCGGCGTGATCAGTCTATCGTTCATGATGTTGGAGGGGGAAGCTGACTTTGATATTTCTGTCTAGAGAGTTGAAGTACACGAGTCTTGTAAGTGGCATGTTTCATGGCCCATTCGAGAGATAAAGTTTGCAATGGTAATTGGTATGAAGATATTTGGGGTTGATATTTTACCACTTTTTTCCTTGCTGTCAAATTGTTACATATACTGCTGACGAACACACAATGGGACTGACTACCCCAAAAAGTATGAGAATCTTTACTTTGCTAAGAAAGTCTTATCCCAATTATAACATTTGTTGCATGGACTGTAGACATTAGTTAGTTAGCAAATGGTTAGAGCATAGATCAGAAGTGCTTATGATAATAGTTTTGGACCAGAATTGAAACAGTGCTGTAGCCAGCCGGGGGGGCAATTGCCCCCCTGGATTTCTTATAGAAAACAGTTTTATTTGAATCATGAAAATACAAGTTGGGGACAAGTGATACCTGTACAAATATTTGCCCCCCCTGTCAAAAAAGGTTAACTACAGCCTTGGATAGTTTCTAAAAATGGCATGTTGAATAATCAGTGTGATAGCCACGTTCATCCATATTTTCGTGATTGAAAAAGACACAGGTTACATGGTTAGTTCAATGAGACTGGTTGATGATATTGGAAATTTCAGTGTCAGCCCTGTATTCAAGTTGTAAACATACAATGTATATACGGGTCAAGGACAATCTGCCAAACAAGTCAGTATCAACATGCTGAAGGTAAAGGTCACCTGATTGTAATCACCTACACCACCATGATAACTGGCCTGAGCTTAGTTTCCAAACAACTCTTTCCAAAAGTCCCCTATCTTTAATAAATGTTGTTAGGCACACAGTATCTTCTGTTCAATTTGAACAACATCATTTAGTATTTGCCCATACTGTATTTATTTGTTTGATTTTTATGTTTAGCTAACCACTGCCTGAGTAGGTTGAAATAACTTTGTGTTGTTTGATATTTTTGGAGTTTATCATGTTTATTGGGCATAAAGTTGTTTGGGTTTGACAGTTTATTTAGAGAAAATAATTACTTATATAACTCTAATTATTCTAGCTGCCATAGACTTCTACCCAAAGCTTAAGATTTTATGAGCGCCTCATTCACTTGCAATATTTACTACCTTCTACTTTATATACAGCCAGAAAATTGTGCTGATGCATTCCACAGTAGCTGACACGTCTTGGAAACATAACAGGATGGTTTTTAAAGGGTAGTAACTCATAATTCTGCGCATGTGGGAACACGTATATCTGATGATTTACTTGTGACGTTTCCATCCTGATGTGTTTCAGTTTGAGGAGGAGTTGCTTGAGGAGGCATTCATTGAAGCATGTTTCGAAGAGATGCTTGCCGAGGAGGAGGCAGCACAATGGTGTTTGTTTAACCAAAACGGTTCTGAGGGGTCAGGTACTGATGTCTCAACGGTTGAGGATGCATTCAAGACCCTTGAAGTAATAGACACCAGCAAACCCAAAGAAGAGGTGAGTTTCTGTAAATCTAGTTCTTAGATACCATGGATACAGAGTTTGCAGAAACTTAATTTTTCTATTCCACTGTTCATGGAATGCACTTTTCTTTCTTTTTTAATCGAACGTGATTGATAGCTTTGACAAAGCTTTAAAAGAGATGCCAATCTGGCTCATCCGAAGTGGTCTGTCTTGTAGAACTGATTGACTTGAGACCACTTTCGGATTGGTTATAAGTCATGGCTCAATAGGTCCCTATTCAAAGCTGGGCAGTCGTTCGTGTAACAATGTCCCTCATGAAAACATGTAACACATGTTATACCTGATATCATGATGCTATGTCTGACTAGCGTAAAGGGGTCACATCACCTGTTAAGGTGTTTTCACCCACTCACAAGTTCCGGTCTTATTTGTATCAGTGTTCAGCACCAGCTTCCTCGTGTACAGTCAAGTCTAGTTAATCCGACAATTGGCTTTATCCGACACTATTGATGGGAACCGATTAAATCAGTGTTATTTAGACCCGGTAATCCGACTCCAACACACCTAATTTGCAACGAATTGCTGGAATCACTCATTAATCAGTCTCGTTAATCCGACACAGTGATCAGCTTACTCCGTGGTCATCTCCCTGCGAGTACACAGCCCCGTGTTTTGATGCGAGACGAGTCGGCGAGTAGCTGCATATTTTAACGGCTGCAGAGATAAACATGCTTAACAATAAACAATCACTGCTTTAAATAAACAAAACAGGATTAATCACATGCCTAGATTACCTCAATCTCATTAAATCGGATACAAGCTGAGGACATCCCATTACAGGTCACGTCAGAATGACCTTTCGCGAACTTTGACCGACCAATGAAATTACTAACAGGAAGTCAACATTAGCCACTAAGAACGCAGTTTTCTTAAGCATTGCGGCAGTAGTTTTAAATTGGCGACTTCCATTTCGGACTGCTTTAAAAATGGGTTTGAATCAGCCATAGAGTCCGTAACAGTAGTATTGTGTTAAACTTTAGAGGTTGCATGATTAGAAAACATATTGCGCTAACAATGTAACATAACAATTAAATATTTCCTTGGTCCTTTTTTTATTACGTGTTTGTTTATTTATTCATTCCATCTCACACTATGCATTGGTTCCTTCTTTCAATCCTTGTGTGGAAACTTGCTAAAAGAAATTTCCAGCTTCTTAAAAAAATTTGCCCAGCACCACCATAGTCACCACCCAAACAAATGGGTCACACACTATAATCCTATGCGTTGTGACTTTACACGCCTTGATAACCTGACTACCCCTGCCACATCATTCACTATCTTAGAACGAACAGGCTAGAGTAGCTGTGATGCAGAGATGGTTGGGAGGGCATATTGCATATGAGATAGGATAAGCATAAAAGTATTGTGAAATTATTAATTTTTTAAACTTATCCTCTCTCACACTATGCTTTTATCCCATGGTTGGACGGTGGGGTGCTGATACCCAAGTCTGTATGAGACTACAATTGTGAGGTATACAGTCAAGTCCTGTTAATCCGACATTGTTGGTTGCATATGATTATGTCGGTTAACGAAATTAGGTAGTATCAACCTTCGTGATCGAAAATCAGACAACATGATAGATAACAATTCAGACAATTTATTTTGAATTTTCAGTATTGTTTAGTGTAAGGCTGTCCTAAAATCACAGCTTGACATGCGGTTATCAAATAAAAACAATGATCATAATTATGCTACATGCCGTACTTCGAGCGACACATTGACAAAGATCATATGGGCATTGGCTACACACAGAGAGGTTGCATTTACTATGAATATCAAAATGAAACAATATATGCTGTTATTTGTTTTTTGATAATCATAACCCTTGCTCATGGGTTTCACCAAAATGGTAAACGTCTGAGACCTGCATCACTTTGGGCTTTCCTCCCACATTAAGCTGACTACATAAAGTGGAATACTGTTAAAGCAAACTCACTCAGTGAGAAGTGTTGAATCTGTACATTGCGTTAGGTTTCAAAATGTAAATTGTCGTCTAAGGCGTCTAAGGCGATCCACTGTGCAGAGCTGCGTCCCTTGGGCACGCCAGAAACCTATGATAGTGGGTTCAAATCCCGGTTTGCCCCAATTATGTTTCTAGGTTTATCAGCACCATACCCGTGCTCGTGGGTTTCACCGAAGTGGTTAACTTCTGAGATCTGCATCACTTAGGGCTTTCCTCCCACATTAAGCTGACATGCTGTGATATACTGTATTCGACGTAATAAAGCGCCCTGCTCTAATAAGCGCCCATGGCAACATTTGCAAAGATATTGGCTAGTGAACAATCCAAATTGGCACCCCTTCCGATTGATCAATGTACACAAGACTTATTTATTCGTGTATAATACGCACTCGTGTGTTATATGCACCCTTAATTATGGGCAATTAAATTCTGGAAATATATATCTGTCGTACATAAACATTTCAGGACGTCAGGATAAACCATGAATTTATCTTTCAACTCGGTTTTTTTTCACCAAAATAAAATTCTAATAAGAGCCCCCTATTTCTAATTTTGAGAGTGCCCTGGGTACTTATTACATCTAATACAATAACTGGAATACTGTTCACTCACTCACTCAAAATGTAATATCAGTCCAAGCAAAGGTGGTATTGAATCCTAACATTACTATTCTGTTACTAAACATAAGTTTGATTTTTTATGTGTTCTTTTCCTTGATGTTGCAGGTAGTTATCAACAGCAAATTAAACCCGGAGGCGCCAGAGTTTGTCCCACGATACCTGAAATTGTGATGAAGGTAGCGCCAAGTGTGTATGTGTCCAAGTGTCATGTTGTCCCATAATGAGTGCACTTGCACTGGCCACATGTGCAGCGCGACTGTGGTGCAAGTTTGTCTCCGGACTGAGTTTGCGGACTAGATGGCTTGCTGGTGCAAGCAATACGCCATGTGCTATTGGATGTGTGGTTGTTGAAGGGATCCATTTTCCACTGCCACAGATGAAGCTATGATTAGGGTGTTGTTCCGTTAACAAAAGGTTTTGTTCATATTATCATACTGTCTGTCAAGGTTTTCCTGGTTCCAGGTTTTTATGAAAATAACAATTTCATTGTGATGGTTTCATGTTTCAGCTTTTAATAACAACAATACTTCTTCTGAGCATGCTGAAAACTGCAGTATTGTTCTGTCAAAACTGCTTGTTTGAGAAGCACAGGGTTAAGTTGTTTGTCTTCTGTTCGTAGTCCTTTTAATACTGTAAATCATGGCAGAGTATTTGACCAAATTTGTTGATATGTTTCCAGATCTCTATGTTGAAAAGACAAAATAAAATGTTTTTTATTTTGTTACATTACAAGACTTCTTTTTTTAATATTTATGTACATTGATTGAGATTATGTTGTGTTGCTTTGTCCATTATCTTCTAGCCATTGTAAACTTTTACACTTTCCACATCTCATTGCCAATCTTTTCTGCGTGATCATATTGAGTGTGTGAGTACCGGTAGGTTTTAGCATTGCACTGGACACAATTAATTATCAGCAACCCATGCTTGCCGTAAAAAGCGACTATTCTTGTCGTAAGAGGCGACTAACAGGATCGGGTGGTCAGGCTCGCTGACTTGGTTGATGCATGTCATTGATCCCAATTGCGTGGATTGATGTTCATGATGTCAATCACTGGATTGTCTGGTCCAGACTCTATTATTTACAGACCGCCGTCATATAGCTGGAATATTGCTGAGTGCGGCGTTAAACAACAAACAAACAAAACTGTGTGCCAGTTTGATGTATGCCAAAAAACATTCTGTTTGTCTTTATTATTATTGGCTCAACCATGTAGAGTTGTAGGGTACCTAGTGCTTACGGGGTGGTGGGGTAACCTAGTGGTTAAAGCGTTTGCTTGTCATGGCGAAGGCCCAGGTTCGAACCCCCACATGGGTACAATGTGTGAAGCCCATTTCTGGTGTCTCCCGCTGTGATATTGCTGGAATATTGCTAAATGTGGGGTAAAACCATACTCACTCCCCAAGTACTTAATGCATTAACCCATCATGCAGAGACCTTGGTTTGTTTGTTATGTATTCACCTATAAGTGGCTGGAATATTGTTAAAAAGGAGTGTTTACCCCCTTCCTAATTGTCATTCAAACCAAACACATAATGAAGCTTGGGTGTTGAATGGGCTCATGGTATTGATCGAAATAGAATGAAGATATATTACACTGAGAAGCAGCAGCTATCAACTATGACATAGTTTGGTCATTGTGAATATTTGTGCCTGCACCTGGATCATTGTAGATTCACATGGAGTCTTTGTACCTTGAGGTTGATCAGCATTACTGAAGGTGAAAATTTGCACCCAGAAGGTGGATCACTTGGCCAGTGCAGTGCCAACTTAGGGATAATGTGTAATACCATTTAGGCAACGCAACACCAGTGGAAGAAGCTCTTTATTATTGATACATTCAGGACCCATCCTCAGCAACCTGTACTGGTGGTTAGGGGCAATGGATTGTTGCTCATAATATCAATCACTGGTTTGTCTGTTCTGGCCAATTTGTTGCCAAAGCTCTTCACTCTGATCAACACAACAATCATAAATCCCAAAACTCCATAGACATGCATACAGTACTACAAACCTGCCAGCCTTGCCAGGTGGATCTCCTTTGGATACTTAGAAGACCTGATACCAACCTTGTGCAAATACTATTGAACAAGATCTATTCTAGTTGAATCATGATTGTGAGCCCTGTTACACAAAGCTGTTTGATCGTCAGTCTATTAAATCTTAGGAAGTACGCCATATATGCCATATATATAATATCAATCATAGGTTTGTCTGGTCTTGAGTCTGGACTCTATTATTTACAAGCCACTGTGTCATAAAGCTGGCATATTTAGTTAAACAACATACAGTCAAGTCCCTTAAATCCTGTTTGTCATTTCATTGGTCGGTCAAAGTTCACGAAAGGTCGTTCTGACGTTACCTGAAATGGGATATCCTCAGCGGTAGCGAGAAGTTGTATCTGATTAATCCTGTTTTGTTTGTTTAAAGCATTAACTGCTTATTGTTAAGCAAGCTGTTGTAATATGCAGATACAGCTGCTACTAGCTGACTCATCGTATCAAAACAAGGGCTGTGTACTCATGGGCAGGTGAGTAGCTGATCACTGTGTCGAATAAACGAGACACATTAATGGGTGATTTCAGTAATTCATTGCAAATTATGTATGTCTGAGTGCGAGTCGGATTAACGGGTCTAAATAACATGTTTCCCTAACTCTAATGATAGTGGTGGATCACTTCGTGGGGACTTCTACACCCATTACTAAGCTAGGCTACAGGTGATTACTGAGGTTTGTGTGTGTTCTCCTGAAGCCCAGTTGTTGATGGTCCTGCAAGTCGCTCTGGTGGTTAGCATCCCTTAAATGTGCCAGGATCTGTTCATTGTTGGTTCTAATTTCAGATTCTCTGTGATTGTGATCCAGGATCTTGTTCATGTGAATCAGCAGTGATAAGTCTACCAACTGTGCACTGAGGTTTTCCTCCCACATTAACCTGACACTGGGATATAACTGACAGGGACGTCGACGCCCTACACAGTATACCTGTATATTACTTGGAATATCATTAAGGAAACATACATACATCCACGTAATTAAGAGCATTAAAATCACCCGAGTGGCCTGCCCCGGAAGTAAGTGCTCGAAGTAACAGTAAAATCTCCTTGCATGCACGATAATGCCAGACTTCAGCAAAACATTTAACGATTGACAGTTTGCCTTTGCAAGGGACTGCCTCCCATTCACGAATATAAGCTGGACGTGATAATGAAATGCCAAGTCGGGAATTGCGTTAAGTCTCACCAGATGCGACCGAGCAACTGAACTTGCAGGTTGTTAGTAACCATTATGGCCAAGAATCGGAATAATGAGAAACAACACTGAACCGACTTATTAGTTCGCAAATATAATCTCGTAAAGTTTTGTCGCTGGTATTATACGCATAAACAAAATCCCGTGCGACACCCATTTCACGATTTCGGGTTGGTGCATTGATATACTCGGCAAAAAAAGAAACGCAAAAATAGTAAAATTGTAAATATCTGACACGGTGTTGCCAACATCCATACAAAATTAATACCAAAAATGAATTGGACATTTATTGGGATATATTTGTGTGAAAAGAATGAGGAACGAAATGTGGTGAAAAGTTAAGAAATCGCAAAAACAGCCACGTGAGAGCCTGGCGCCCAATCACACCAACATTATATGCACGTGAAACATCACTTGTTGGGCTATAAAAACGTCAGGTTTTCATTTGCATGCCACCGCAATCTTACAGCAAGTGAGCAGCGAAAACATGCCAAGACTGACGGAAGTCCAACGCAACAACACCATCGGCCGACTGCAAACAGGAGAATCATCTTCAACTGTAGCCAGGTTTTTCCACGTAGCACCAAGCACCATTACAGGACTTTGGAACGAACCGTTATCAGACACACGGGACAACACATGACCTTCCCAGATCCGCTGAAGGTATTCGCACTAGACAAGTTCGAGGTGTCATTTTGACGGACCTGCAACATCGGCTGCGACGTCAATGATGTCGAGGGCATAGAGTATGGTCACAACTGCGATGGAGACAAGCCTGGTTTAGTGACCAATCACGTTTTTTGCTTCGCTGTGCGTATGGTAGACGTCACGTTTACAGGCGTCGTGGGGAACGTTATGCAGGAAGTGGAAAGAAGGTATCACAACATCCAGGTCCTGCCATGGCCCTCCATGTCTCCAGATTTAAACCCAATCGAACCTTTATGGAATACACGGTATCAGCGACTGCGATCACATATGATATAATATTATATTAATTAACTGCTAAAATGTCAGTTATTTTCATATACTTGCTATCCAATGGTGGTATATCCTGGTTAGCATAAACAACTAAAAAAATCTATCGTAAACGTAAGATGAGTCCCATAACATTTGCAAACGGCGACTGTTGCCGCTCAAATGCAGTTTCTTATCTTTGGCAAGCCATTCATTACTGTGGTCTGCTCACACAAATAGCGATGTCGCTATATGCAATAAACCAGAAGTTGTTATCCAAGAAGTTGTACGTTTCGTGTCTTACTCACCAACTTCAAGAATGCCAATCAAACAGTTACAAAACTATTGATCAGCAAGTGAGTCATCGCTTCGGCAATATTTCAGTCATATAGTGACGAAAACAAATTATTACTATATTTATATTGATATTATTCACTAATTTCATGTCGATCATTTGTTTAAATCATGTCTATCCACACATGCATGATTTATTGAGGTGAAACATTGTTCAGTGGGTCCAAGAGGATTTGAAAACTTAACTCAAAGAAGTCAAAGGGCGAGGTGCACGCGAGGAACGCTTAGTGAGTGAGTTGGGTTTAACGCCGCTTTTTACTGTTATATCGCGGCGTGTCAGCTTAATGTGGGAGGAAAGCCGGAAGTGATGCAGGTCTCAGACGTTTAACACTTCGGTGAAACCCACGAGCACGGGTATGGTGCTGACAAACCTAGAAACATAATCAGGGCGAATCGGGATTCGAACCCGCAATCAGGTTTCTTGTGCGTCCGAAGGGACGCCACTCTGCACAGCGAATCGCGGCGCCTTAGACGACTGGGCCACCCATGCCCCCAGGAACGCTTAGGGAGGACCTATGTTTTTTTTCTTTCTAAATATGGTAATCCACAATTTTCAAGAATTAAAGAACTCTATGCTTTACTATAATAACACTTTGTGAGTCACCCCTACGTGATGCACGTGGAATATTTTCACTGAGACTTTCGCACGTGCATCTCGGTCTTTGGCAACTCGGGATATGAACTGCATGTCCCCAGCACGCACACTAAACATAAACATGGTTTTGGACCAGCTCGAGCACATTTATCAATCACGATTTCTTACCCTTCTTAATGGGACAATTATGAAAAAGAAATAACCCGGATCAAGAAATGTGTTACCAACTAATGTATACAATGACATAATAAGAATCAATTAGTCGCTATCATAACGAGCAATGTTAAAATGCTAAATGTTTTTGTGCTTGGGATGATAGTATTTTTTTAACACATAGCATAAGGTACAGATTCAACACCAAGGCCGAAATTATTTACTGGAGAGTGAGTGTGTGAGTGAGTTTGGTTCGGCAGTATTCCAGTTATATCATGGCGTGTCAGCTCAGTATGGGAGGAAAGCCCAAAGTGATGCAGGTCTCACTTTGGTAAAACCAACAAGCACAGATATGGTGGTAACAAACCTAGAAACATAACGGGTTGAATCCATCATCATAGGTTTCTGGCGTGCCAAAG